ATGTACGTTTCGTATAATATAAAAATTTGCTAGCTGATTTTAACGATACAAGCACTTCCTAATTACATTCAGATCAAAGGTTTTGTTTCAAAGGTATAAATAGAAAAAGTTGAAAGCAGGATGATATAATTATCACGTAATTAAACGTTTCGTAGAGAGGAAGAACGGCAAGACAAGTTTTTTTATCATTAAAAACGCGCAAAAATGGAAACCAAGAGTTAAGCCACAATTGGTTTTTGTTTCGCTTGTTTGCTCTTAAGGTGTTTCTGTTAAAAACAGTTGAGTTTCCGCCCTTCTTTGCTTTTTCTTCCTTTGCATATTCCATCAGGTTTTTGAATGTTCATAGGCCTCTGTTTTTCTCTCTGATCAGTGCTTCGTTAACGAAGCCATGTACTGGATATTTTCAACAAATGCAGCTTCAACGTTGCTTGTTTCCCTCTTATCCTTGTCCGAATCCAGACATCCCAATTTGGGCGAATCGGATTTGAAGTCCTGCACAGTTGCGCCACAGTCGCCAAACTTGAATGGGGAGGGTGTTCCGACACTGTCCACAAATTCACGATCTGGTCCAATGTCTTTAATGTTGCGTGTTTCTCCGACGTCGTTGCTGGCATCCAGACTCTCCACGTTGGGCGAGTCGGATTTGAAGTCCGGCCCAACTTCGGCGTATTCACCAAAAGGGGACGACTCTCCCCAGCTCTGAATCTCTTGACCTATGAGAAAATTAAAGGGAAATAAATAAACAAGCGATGAGTAATGCTATGATATGACTAAATACGAGCAACTGCCTTTGTTGAAAGAAGCAAATAAAGGTGGGCAGTTTTACGGTGGTTCAATACTGAATATTCATACCGCTCTTTTAATTAAGCATTCACGGAAGACTTCCTCACCGTTCGTCGATGCTTCAGCTTTCCCTGCCAATCTGAAATATGTTGCGTGTTTATATGTTTTACAAGCACAAAATGAAACGAAACCGTCAACAAACCTTTACCATCGGATGGTCTTTCACCTAGCCAATTTTGTTCGACCTTTTCGTTTCCATCCAGCGAAGCTCTGTCTTCTCTCTTCTGCACGGCGGCGTACGAGTATCCATCATCTGCAATCTTCAGTGGCAGATTGTCTGGGCCGAGCACGGCGTACTCTGGGGGTGACTGGCGCCGCTAACTGAGCGGTGTAACCTCGGTATTCTCTGGTGGAAGCACTGCATACGATGTTTTTAAAGGATCCACGGAATGAATTTTTTTGGAATCCTTTTTGTGTATCTCTGTACTCTTCTTTAATGTATGAAGCCTGTTTGACATTTTCTTTTAGTAACGTGAACTAAAAAGTGCACTTTATAAACATTCAAAATTGACCAAGCATTTCTGGACATGTGAGAGCACTTTTCCTTGATGTAACTCAAGGAAGACATGGTTCACTTAGCATGTTTTCAAGTTCAAATTGTGAACTACAAATTTGGTATCTTTAAACATTTCTGTGAAAAAAAGTTGCTTGCTTGCTTATTGCCATTTACTTAACAATAAATTGCCACAGGAAATGAAATCTACGATAGCAGTGTTTAAAAAATCGAGAAATTTTCTGAGCACAAATTAGTGCGACATTGAGGCTCGGTGCCTTGAATGACATCATAGTTTTGCTCATGAATATGCAAATCTCATTATCATCGATCTTGACCATGTAAAGATCGCTGATTCTCTTTGAGAATCATCTGCAACTTCCTCCTGGATACAACAAAGTATGCTATGATGACAAGGAGGATAACAATAGTACCAACACACTTGTCCCTGCATATTACGACACAAACTGTACAGTTGGGAGGATAAGGAACTGATTCGGTGACAACAGCTGTTAGGATAAATATGGAAGATGTCGTTTGATCAGATGGGCTGTTTGTCATCAGATTAACGTTATTCAGTGGGGTCTGTTAGATATGGTGAAGTGTGAGAATCAGAAGAGCCCTGTTGAGGTGGAGTGTTCTCGGTGAGATGGGGGAAATTTAAGGGATGTTGGAGTGGTTCTAAGAGCCTGGGATGTACCCATGATTTTAAGTGTTGGATTAGGGAAGATCAAAATTGATCCAATGGAACAATTTGTAGTGACGCCAGGATAAGCCACACTGTTCATGTAGCAGGTGAATATGGAGTTATTGTACGTAGTATCCAATGAATGCATATCCAAAGTGTTTTTTTTACTTGATTCCTGACGATAAATGTAGCGTTTGACACTGACACCTCGGATGAACCTACAAAAGCTGTCCACTACAAAGAGACCACTGGTCGAGTTATCTCAGGTGAACAAAGTAAAACAGACGGTATGAACCCAGACAGGTGTTGCGATATTTTGCACTGTGGGTAAGTTATGTCTGGGAGATAATGGTGCAGACTTTTGTTTGTTATTAAGAGAACGGCACAACGGAAAGTTGTGTTGTCTTCCAACATGGTACTTTGAAGAGTAAGAATCACTTTTCCACTGTTCATGTCATTGACAACATACTTCACCGTGCCACATTTATCCGCTGTTGTAGCATTACACCTCATAACAGCAACACAATGTGATGTAACAGACATTTCATAGAGAGGTGTATTTGACCCACGTTCCCACCGTGCCGCCGTGATGGAAATGTGGATATCACCGTCCTCGTCTAGATCTATTTCACAAGACATCTGCAACTGCCCCCCCCCCTCCGTACGGTCACTGCATCAGATATCGCTGTGATTGTCAGTGATGTGGTCACGGTCACACGAAGCAAGAAAAGCAGTGCTATAAAGAGAAATGCTACTCTCGCCATTTTTGTCCTTTGCCATGGATCGCTACATGTTGAATACCTTGAACGTGAATGTAGAAAGACAGCCACTCACGTTAAATTGCAGTCGCCTAACAGTGTACTGCATGCCAAACCAGCTCCGAACCTGAATTTATTGTCAACAGGTTCGAACCTGCATGCATGAACATCACTCGGGACAGGACTTATGCACACTTGTCAAGATAGTAGTATGGGTCAACACTGGGGGCCCCGGGGGTTCCCCCCAAACTCTCTGTTTTGTACTTGTTGCGCTTAAACTCGCGGTCTCTAGAGAAATGTAGCGTGTGTTTCGGGTTGTTGACTCAGAAAATAATCTTGCGTAGGCCTAAGTTTTGTTTGGATGGTGAACGGTTCAATGGAAATGAAACCTCGAATAAAATAAAACAGCATGAGGAAATTCAAGCCCATAAAGCAGCTGGTTTAGATAGACGAGGGATATTACTTCCTGGTCACTTGGACATTCACTTGATTATGTCGATTATTGCATCCCTTTGCCACAAAAATAAAGAAAGTACCATGAGACGTACCATAATCCCCAGTCCTTAAAATGAAAAAAAAAAAAACCCGGAAAGGAACGAAATGCTGATGTCAGCGAATGACCTCTACCAGACGGATCTGAGTAACATCGAAGCAGATATAATTATTCTCACACTCCGCGACCGATCGACTGACTCAGCGGGGACTAAGGCCGTAGCTCACATAAACTTCTACGCTGGTTCCATTCATGCTGATCTACGACGCGCCGTCATGTTAATATGATTCATAAGTTGTGCGTACGTTATATAAGTCGTACGAACGGTAACACAAAGTAACCATCTTTGACGGCAGTTGTAGATCAAAATTTCAGTCATTTCCGGAAGACTTCAATTAGTTACATGTATTTGCATGTCAAATGAGTTTCTGTCAACCACGGTATTTTACGAAATTCAACGTGTCTTTAGATTACTCACAATATTGCACTTTAAGCTTCGCAAAGGGATGAATAGTTCAATGGAAATGAAAGCCAATGCCAAAAAAAGAGAAATGAGGAAATTCAACGGCGTAAACAGCTATACATTTTATGTAGGTAGGCATTACACAGCAACGTAACATAGAGTGTGCACCAGGCTCCTTTCATAGGCTTAGCATTACAATGTTATTTCTCACAAACTTGAGGGGTAAAGCTAGCAAGATCCGATAAACTTACGCCGATCTGGAGAGAATGGTTAACTGCTTGACGTTGAAAAGCCAATATGTTTATCTGTCAATTTTTCGTCCTGACCGAATGATTTTTTGGGGGAGAGGGGCTCAGGGGATGCGAATACTCTCGGTATGAATATTGTTACGTTCCCTAAATATCAAGTCGATGGTAGCATGGGCTTTATTAGTGTCTAGGGATGTGATATTTGGGGTCAACAATTTATTAAAGGGTGGACGTGAAACAAGGGGTTTGGGTGACAGTCAAACTGTATGGTTGGTTTATTGCTCTCACTTCTCTTTGGGGGTGTCTCGCCCGGCAACCGGTTCGGACGTAGCGGTGACGGGCCGCTACGACTCTCGCTAGCACCCCTGGCTAATTCGTACCGCTCTCGCATCGGTCCAAGCTGAGCTAGCTGGTCATTCATATGGTTACATTTCTTCGCCATAAGAATGGTTACTATCTCACTTCTCCCGGAAAGGTTCTGCTCTCGCAACAAGGGTTTGGTCCGCTGCACCTGACCGACGATCTAGGGAAAATCTGCTCTGTTTATATGATTCTAGAGTCTTAGGAATTAATAAAATATGAGCGCCGGTGAACAGCTCAACCAATGAAAATCTTCCATCTCAAAGGGTCACATGACTTCCTGCTAGAGTCGTGTGCAAGAATCTAAGTGTCGTGTGTAAAAAGGTAAAATGCAGAATAAGAAGTCACGTGTACAAAGTGTAGAGCCGGGTGCATGAAAGTGCTTACGCGGTCATCTGTGGCGAATGATTGACAGCTACAAAGTCTGCGGTTTCTGAACATTAGCATTCGGGAACCTTACCACGTCCAACCACGCAGCTACATGGAGGGGAATTTCGACATGCCAAAACTGAGCAGAGAAAACACAAGGACAAAGGAGTGAAGGAACACGCGATCACGCCAGAGTACAGCATGAATACCTTAATACAAAATTAGCGTCTCTGTTACATGTCCATAATGCATAGCTGAGCTGAATAAGAGACCCTGAGAAATGCAAGGACCAAGAACGAGTAAAACTAGGGGGCGCTAGAATTCCAAGATTTGCGGGTGCGCAACACTATTAATAACTCGTCTTGAACCAATTAAACGCACGAACAAGCTTTCTGAGGAAAATAAAGCGGATGATTTTGAGGGACGGGCTCAGGGGATGCGAACGAATGAATCATTTGCAGCGGGCCGATCACGAAATACTTCTTGAATAGCCCGGTGTTCGGGTTCGTGGTAGCGCGATCGATATGGCGTACCGGTTACGAAACCGGCGCGGTGTAGGAGCGAACAAATGCGGTGAGATTTAAATACATGTATCAGTTATCATGTTTAGCAGCATCATATTGCTCTCAAATTTTCTGAGCAATGGGGATCGGATTATGACAACATTGCTGAAGAGATAGCCAGGAGCCCTCAGTACATAGAAGCAGTAGGGCCTACTGCAGCAATACTACACGCTTTGTGTGCGACAACTACTCAAGAAAGAGTAAACAATGTGTACACTGATCTTAATTGGGCAAAACTTGAAGACAGACGGGTAATAAACCAGCTCACCTATCTGTGCAAAACAATCGACACTGAAGTACCCATCAGACTAGATCCCTGTTTGCTAAAAAAAGATAACTAGATCGCGCAGAGGAAATTTCTCTGAAATTGTAGCCAAAACCAACCACTAATGCTATAGCCTATGAAATCATTCTACAAAGAACTGTTCAAAAATGGAACAGCCTCCCACAGGAAATTTCAAATTAGGCCTAAGCCATCTTCAAAGGCTCTAGTCTTAGTGAGACTTCCAAGACTTTCAAGAGGACAACTGCCAAGTACCAAAGTACATATTTGTAAGTATAAACTGGGTGATCGAACACTTCCACTTCCACCCACATGCCCATGACAACGGTCCGCCATTGCAGGGTTCCCTTGCCGATCACAGGGCACGCCAAGAACCCAGGCTTTGAGTAGATGGTACTGTCATTACCGTTAAGAGCTCAAATTCGTCAGGGTGTTGGGTTACAGTCGGTCTTGTGCATGTCTATGTGTGCACGTACATGTACAGTACATGTACATTTACATGTACATGTAACACAGCACAAGGCACGGATACAACACATGTCACCAGGTTATCACTGGTGATCCCAGCACTGCCTCTTGTCATCAGGGGTCGACTGTACTAATATGACAAGATCAAGGCTGAAGAGAAAAGGCCAGTCTGGCAAGAAGATATGACACAGTGCATGCGGTTAGTCCCGTGCATTCTGGAAAAAGGGGCAGTTGGTGCGTTTGTGGAGCTCAGAGAGTGTCGAGGCAAAACGTTAACCGTTAGGCCGACTGATTGACTTTTGGTTGCTGAAGACCCAACAAAATATGAAGCTCGAAGAAATCGCTGCCCTGCTCGGCAATTTTGGCCGGTATCAAATCTTGTTGATCGTGTACGCGTCCATTCTAAGCTGCATGGGCTGTTGGGTGACTTTCAGCCATGTGTTTTTCGCGGCCGGGACCGACCACTGGTGCTCAGTCTTACCCCGCGAGAACTGCTCTGGGTGGCCGGGGTTCCAAGACAACTGCACCGAGCTCAAGAAGGCCATATTCCTTCCTCCTTCCGAGGACGAGTCAAGTATATATCCCTACTCCAACTGCAAGCAGTGGGACTTGCTGGAGGGGTACGTATTTGATCCTTACGCCCCACTCGCTGACGTCGACAATTTCACTTACTCTGCCGTGCCCTGTAATAGTGGATGGGTATACGACACGTCGCAGTACAAGACAACAGTAAACTCAGAGGTATGCTAACATTCCACTTTTAATACCTGGTAACTAAAATGTAAAACGATTCTCTGTCCCCTCCCCGGGGGGGGGGGTTGGTCTGTTTACTATTTGTTTATGGGTCTGTTTACTATTTGTTTATGGGAACAAAAATTGGATTTTCTGGCCGATTTAATTCGTCCTCGAACGATTCTTCTCAGCTCGGTGATGTCATGCTTCGTTTTCAAACTATGAGCTTTTACTTTTTTCTTATCTGACACCGAATCATACCTTAATTCCTGGTATTTAAAATATAAAATGATTCTCCGTCTCCCCAAGGGACTATAGGTTGGAATATTTGTTAATTTACTGTTTGTTTATCGGAACGACAATTGGATTACCTAGCCTATGTAACAACAACCGTCAATTTGATAACTTGCATTCGTCCTCGAACGATTCTTCTCAGCTCGTTGATCTCATGCTTCGTTTTCAAACTTTGAGCTTTCAATTGTTCTTGTCCGACACCGAATAGTGTACGGCACTTCACGCATTCCATTCAGAACTACGTTCATTCAATTTCACGGTGAATACTCGTCATACAATTTCGAGCCGGGCAACCAGTGAGAGAATTCCTTTCCAATTTTTACTTTCGTCTGCATATTGTCTGCAAATTTGACATGGACTGTACATGAACAATACATACGAGGAAACCGTGGGGATTTAGATTGTCAATCTGTTGCATGTACAAATTCAGATGCTATGCTTACGCGGTAATTGGGCGGTAAAACCTATAGCGTAGTCATGATTAATGCAGAACAGGTGTGCGTCGTTGCATGGAGCTGTATTAATGTGTATATTTTACGAACAAAGATTTTCGTCGACCCCTTGCAACACGTGTAACTGTTCCTTTGAAATGACAAGGAACCAGCTAACATGGAAGTGAATTCCCTCCGTAAGTAGTATGGGCCTACATACAATCGTTTTGCTATTTTTGTAATTTGTAAACTTATCCCAGAAAAACTGAAAGCGATTGCAATCATAATGTACTCCAGAAAACAAAATAAACTTTTGTTCGCTGGCAACGCGCTGTCAACTTTCTTCTGTGTAAGCAGCCACTGCAGAGAAACTATGGATGGGGGGGGGAGTACTAAAGCTAGGCCTTCACAAATATGCTTTCCTAGCTATTATATTTCATTACAGTTTGACCTTGTGTGCGAGGACAAAGATTTACCCAGCTTCAGTCAGTCGATCTACTTCGTGGGCTTTCTGGTGTCCTCTGTCATTGTAGGAACACTCTCAGACTGGTAAGGAGACCTTACTGGCCTAAACACTCCCATTACCACCACTATATCATCACCGTGCCAAAACCAGTGCCTTCCATCGCTATTTATGTATTACCATAAACATTAGGCCTACTGCCATTTTCATGATCATCACCACAACTACCATTACCATGATAACATTACCAGATCTAACACCATTGCCATTATTACGACCACTGCCATAATTGGTTTGGACCGATGGCAAACGACGCTGTTAGAAGCATAATGACAACAAATGTGTTCTCAGTGAATATCTTGCAAGATTTACACGTCTTTAAATCTCGCCTTTAATCCAAGTTTACATCACGCACATAAAAGGATATCTATGAAATACAATATGCGCTGCTTTCATGTAATCCCTGCTTCGTCGTTTTTCAATTTAGGATTGGTCGCAAGACAGCTCTATCGGTCTCCTTGCTACTCTGGGTGGTCGGTTTCATAGTCACTACCTTTTCGGTCAATATCTATATGTATATGGCGTGCCGTTTTCTGTCTGGATTTGGTGAATATGGCGCCTGGCTTTCCTGTTTTGTCTTGGGTAAGAGCAGTCATTAATTTCACCCTTTCCTTTCAATATCTTATTCAGTTTGGCAACATTACGTTGCCAATTTAACCGCTGCAATCTGGCAAGGTCGTCAGGTCCGACATTTCAAGGATTCTTGATAGGGCGCCATGGCCCCCAAACTCACATCATTTCATTGAAACCTTTCTTTGCCATATGAAATTTACCATGCCTCTTTTTGTCAGCGATTGAAAACGTTCCCAAGTCTCGGCGCACAGCTGTAACCATGCTGTTTGGCATAACCTACGCCGTTGGGTATTTCTTCCTGGCAACAGCGGCCATGTTCGTCAGAGAGTGGCGCCCTCTTTGTCTGATTATGTCCCTCGCGACGATTCCAGTGTTGTTGCCGTTGCCGTAAGTATACCGACTTTGTGGCGAAACTGTTCACCGCCTTGTTATGGAATTAATTGGCCAAGTCTGGAATCCACCCCCTGCCCTTCACACTTTAAGGACCTCATGTACTTTTTATATCTAAGTTAAACTATCTCTTTATATGCGTGTAGATTCGTGCAAGAATCTATCAGTTGGCTGGTGTCCAAGGGCAAGCTGGAGGAAGCTGACGCAGTTATCAGGAGAGTGGCCAAGTTTAATAAGAAGACCGTGCCGGATGTTCTGTTCGATAAAGAGGATGATCAAAACGAAATGGTAAGTTGCATATTACTGAGATTTCGAATAGTATAGCGATCCTATCTATCTATTTGCTAAATGATGACTTTCGGCAATTTTAAGTATGAAGCCCAAACGGCGCTCTGTCTAGAGCCGTTTCTCTGTAAGAAATGAACTGAAAACGCCACCAACAAATGAGAACGTAATGGGTGCATTGAACATTACATATATTTTCGAATGCAGGAATCGAGAGAGTCGGCAATACCTCCGTCCCTCATTGATTTGTACAGGACCTCCAACATGGCGGCCAAGACAATCAACATGCAATATAACTGGTAGGTGCAAAGCAGCCAGAGATGCAGTTTTTGTTCAGTTGCAATGCTTTCTTGTGCACACAGATCTGATTCCTTGGTATTGCAAACAGGTGTTAGTTACCAGTGAGCTCATTGAATAATTAGTGTTGATGTGCCCTGCAACTTCCAGGTTGGTCAACAGTCTGGTGTACTACGGCCTGTCGCAAAGCACCGGCGATCTCGGCGTGGACGACTACTGGGCTTTCTTTGTGTCCGGCGCCGTGGAGATCCCGGCCCTGACGTACGCCGCTTTCGGGGTGGAGCGGTTCGGTCGGAAATGGAACACCGCGGTGCTGGAGCTTATTGGTGGCGTCGCTTGCTTGATAGCCATCTTTATTCGTAAGAAGTTCCAGCATATGACTTGTCGCGCAGCTTCATGAAATAAGGCCCTACGTGTTTATGTAGGCCATGTCCTTCCTCAAAATTTGACACATTTCCACTGCGTTGATATCCTGTACAAAACAGAATTCTTAGGCCTGCTTCAAACGTCGAATTTCTGCCGTGTCTGATTCAACTTATTGCAATCGACATAAAAGTGACAAGAGTTCGGCAGTTGCTTTAAACGTCGATTTTCTGCAGAACGCAGTGCGGTCTTTCAACAAGACGCACCAGGAAAGGAGACATGATACATATCTTTTTTTGTTTTTCTGCGATCAAATTTATTGCAGGTGATTTCCAAAGGAGAGTTTTGATATAGGTACAATACTCCTGCTGGTCCTCCTTTCAAGAGAAAATGCCACAACCTCCAATGTTCTTGTCGGATTGATATTGGTCAAAGATGCAAGTTGGTTAGAAGGATAATGTTATATACGAATTCAGAGAAATGATTCCAATGCAACCTTGGAAATGTTCCTCTTTCACATTAGACACGATTTAGAGTGAAACATTTACATAAATCCTCATCTGAAGGGCATAGCTCGGAAATTATGTGTATAAAGACGCTTTGATTGAGAATAAAATTATGCTGTTGCCGAAAAACGATTAATATTACTGGTGAAGTTTGAAGAGGTTTGTGAATCTATCACCAGAAACACGTAGGGTATGTCAGGCACTAATAGGGGTATCCAAAAACCGAAAAGGAAATGTTATACCTTGGTTTTAATGCTGAAACGAAAACAATTGGAGAAGGTGCATGCGCATTCTAGCATGGTACCACTTCAATTTTGACTTGGGACATGCCAACTGAATTAGACACAGCAGAAATCCGGCGTTTGAAGCCCTGCTGCTCTTTTTAAAACCAGCAAGACCTGTCGAACTTTCGGCAGAAAGTCGGCAGTTGCTTCAAGCGTCGACTTGCTACCGTGTCTAATTCAAATTTGCACCATTATTAGACACGGCAGAAGTTGGACGTTTGAAGCGGGCCTTAGTGACCAAAATGGTGAGCAACTTTTTCACTATACATGTACATGTCTTCTGCAGCCCGATGGATAAAAGTGTTTTATTCGACAACGATTACCGCAGTGCCGTTATAGTCCAATGTCGGTTTCTTCAGATCGATGATATCGACGGAAATATGAACCGACGGAAAGGATAATGGCGTAATAGGTTGCGCATAGAATGCAAGGTTTCAAACATTTGGCCGCTCACAGCAGCCGCTTGTGACAACGTTAAGTCAAGTAAAATTGACAGTAACAGAAGAAGGTTTATGTGTGTTTTCTCCCATCAGCCACTGGGATCTGGCGGACTGCGGTGTCCATGATTGGCAAATTCTGTATCTCTGCCACGTTTAGCATAATATACCTGTACTCTGGCGAGCTGTTCCCAACACCTATTAGGTAGGTGAACTGAACTGTTGTGAATTAATTAATGATGATAAGACCATGTGGTATCCCGGAGGGTCCCGTGGTGGTATAGCAGAATCATGGCACTGCTATCACTGGTCCTCATAGTTTGCAGTGGCCCCCGCCAATGGCGGTATATGCACTGTGATTGCCATTTACTGAGCCAGTATACTGTTTCGTAGCAGTCGCTTCGTACAAAACCCACTACAGTGCTTTCCATCATTAAAGGGGGCCATCTATCCTATAGCGGAGTTGGCGGTGTACCGTGCTGTTACAGGTATTAATATTAGAGGTCTTGTTTCACTGTTTGTCAATATCAACCGGGACCCGGTAAAGTACAGAGTCCGTCCTGTCGTGTTCGCTTCAGCTCAAAGTCTAAAAAGGTTTGGAATTATCCTTCTTTTCCAAGGGCCATTGGCATTGGTATGTGTTCCGTGTCGTCTCGCATCGGTGGCATCATCTCTCCGCTCGTCCTGCTGTTGGGGCGCAATGTGCCGTCAATCGTGTTCGGATGCAGCGCGATTGTGGCGGGAATTCTGGTGTTCTTCTTGCCGGAGACAAAAGGACGCAAACTGCCCCAGACGCTGGAGGAGGCTGAGGCAATGGGAAAGTGAGTGTCAATATTCGTAATTATTGCTTTTTACTAAAAGTATCCCATCTCGATGCTCGCCACGAGTTAGAGTGCAGTTTCATCACTGATTAGTAGTTACCATAGGATGAACACTGATGATTTTGCAGTTTTATTTTGTTGATTTTTGGTGCCTTGAACAACCATTTTCGAAGAGTGATATTAAGCTCTGTGTTTGACATCAGGTGTAACTGTATGGCCGGGAATGTCTCCAACGAGTCTGCTATCGAGCTTGATGGGGAGGGTTGCGACAAAGAGGGCGTCTCTCCGGTTTCCATAGAACGCAGCCTTCGACCAAAGAATGAAGAAAAATCAGAGCTGTCCGCGTGAAGCCACGGGAGTCTTCACATACATAAACCACGATGTACACTCGCCATAAACAGAGTCTCTTGCCTGGATCAAAAAGCTCTGGAGCATTGTCATTCCTGATATCAAAATGTTCCCGACGACGTCAGTAAAACAGCCGTTAATGAAAAGTTTGTTATACAAACAACAATGAACGGAGCCTCGGGAAGACGATTTTGAACAATCTGGTCGGAGCATTTCTAACTGATAACATTGTTGCTGCATAAAGTGAAATTGTCCTTAGCTGCATCCACTGAGAATATCTCAGTGTACAAGCTGGCGGAAAACTCAGGCAGCACTCCATTAGCCATACTGCTATGGTTAATGGCGTGCATAAAATAATGAAAAATAGATTTCTTAAATAGATTTTGTATTCGTGGTCGAGCATTTAGAGGAGTCCACTGAGGCAACCATACTGCCAGATAAACCCAAGACCTTGATCAAATCACACGAAGACCTGAAATGACGAAGGAACTTTGTTTGCATTTTGACTCTTGCTCCGTCGAATCTGTTTCTGTGAAGTGTGACAGCATCTACTTATAATAGACCTATAGATCAGGAGGCTACCATGTTTGTCTTGTTCCGTGTAGACCCACCAGCATTAGTAATACAACTTCATGATATCGATTAAAGGGAACAGACCCTTTTCCTTTCCATCATTTGTTTCATATGCAGCAAGGTATGAGACGGAGAGAACCCCCCCTGCTTTGTGTTGGTCATTGTCTTGCAGGAATCTGGGGAATTCCTTTCAGACATCTTGGGGGGATGTGTTAAGTAACAATAGTCTGAATGTGCATAGATTGGACATGTTTGGTGGGGTACCCCTCAGTCTCATTTCTTGCTGGGTATAATTTGTTTCGTTACATTGGTAAGAATGACAGAAAAGCAAGATGGCTGTTCCATGATAGAGATCTATTGTGTGTGCCTTATACAGTCAATGCGCCTGCAACCCGCAACACTATTCGGTGACCGCCGCTTTCTCTTCCGGGGGTGCCAAATTTCTCAGAAATGTATCCGGTTCGAGCTTAGCGAGTAATGCTCGTGTGATGTTTTTTTCTGGCTACGCCATTGGTCATTGAATAGTAAAATATCAAACCACGCAAAAATACTTGTAAAGGAGCCGATCAAACCATGCCTATGCCCAACTCCCTCAGAGTTTTCAGCCTTGGCTATATTACTATCTCACCTGCACAAAACGCGCTCATTTTCCTCGAAAAGAATGTCAACAGTCGTCACTGTCCCTTTAAGTTAATAAGATTTAATTTTCAGAAATAAAGCCAGCACTAAAGATCGCAAATAAAATATGAAGCTGTCAGGGTATAGCAAATACATGTATATAAGCTCTAAGCGAGCATCATAAAAATGTGTGCATAAAGCGGACTTCTTACCCGAGTCTGTGAACAAGCCTGTAGGAAGGAAATCTAACTGTGGCTATTGATTGGTTGAGGCCTGTCTGGGCGTTGTCCCCTGATTGGTCACAATGACGAGGTCAATATTTGATTGACCTGCATAATTACCCACCGGATCTATGCGAGTTCATAATTTGGCAACGTATATGTCAGTTAAAGGCAAAACTACGGGGTGGTGAAGAGAAATCGAGAGGCTGGAGGTGGAGCAGACGCGTATTCTTCATTGATTGAGATACTACCATATTGCGACTACTGCTGACATGTAAAATCTTTATTTCCACTTCACAGTGACTGTACAATGACATTAACACTTTGGCTCATCCATTATGATACTGAAATAACTACCTACTGATTGGGAAATTAAAATGCCTTTCAGTTCTGTTTTAATTGAAATCCTTGAAAAATCAAGTTATTCATTTAAACTAAAAAATAGGGCCGCGTGAAAGAAACGCTCTATACATACGTACTGATAATTAGACCTACCGCAGTGTAAAAGCTTAGTGTTCCATACGAAGTCGACGTAAAAGCATGTAGATATGGCCCTCTAAGAAATGGTCAATTTGTGTCTTGAAGTGTTACACAAGATTTATCGGTACGGGCTAATGGCTGCGATCTCTCCAGTGTCTTTTCTGAGAGTGCTTGATCAACTCCAACTTGATTTTGTTTTTAGAAAATCTTCCACCGTGTTGGAGACTTGTTGGTTGCCGGTGTCCTATTAAACAATAGGGTCCCTTTATACGCTGCCACATATAGCAGCAGCCCAGCTCCCGTTGCCACTACTTCAAATGGTGTTTTACTTCAACCCTTTTGGTTTTATCTTTAGGAGTTCGTTAGCAAAACTATTGTTTATGCTAATATTCATGAGCTAAACTGATGTCATCCAAGGAAGAAGCCTTAATGTTACATTGGTTTATACACAAAAAAGTCCTGCATTTGTGTAGATTTTGCTGGACTCAGTTTTGTTCTTCTTTGCAGATGTTACAGATGTTTATGTGCGCAGCGAAAAGCAAGTACCATTCTCTCTCTCAGAAATGCTTTCAGTAAGTAAATTCTGGGTTAACAATCTGAACAGCCTATGCACTGAATTGTGCCTTACCCGGATGACTTAACAGTAACAGCACCCTCAGTTGTTTAATTGTTAAAAAAAGCACTTTCCAATGCATTTAACCGAATAGGAAAACGAAAGAGTTTTCAGACATACAAGAAAACTACAAAGTGGAAAATAAAATTGTGTCTTTGAAAAATTCATTGCAGCTAACAAACTTTAAATGTCAAAACCGTGAAAGGTTTTATACTTTGACCTACACATGGAAATTCCCCGGTGTTCCTATCCTGAAGGACAACATGAAACGTCATCGTGAAGAGCGGATGTTTCCAGGTCAGGAGGCCGAACAGCCGATTTCCTGAAACCGAAAGCTGGAGACGAAGGCGAGGTTTGGAAACCGTTAGCGGATACGTTCACAGTTTGGGCAGGTGCTTAATTATTAAGGTGACTCGACAAACAAAAAACCCAGTGTCGGCGAGAAAACCTCGTAAGGTGAAATGTGAAGAAGCGGTGACATGACAAAATTCGCGAGCATCACGTCATCAATGTTTTTGCACACTTGACAAGGGCATTTCCGGGGGTGTACCCAGGATTATCAGAAAGGGGGGGGGGGTCGTAATGCAATGACTGTGCAGTAACACCCGGAAAGGGATCCCCAGACTAGGGGAACCGGGGCATACTCCACTTGGATTTTCCTTTAAAAAAGGAACATCAAATCAAGTAAGTTTGGTGCCTCGTAAATGTCCATTAAAAATCAACACTTCTGTTCTATGGTTGTTTTATCAGCAAAACAACTCAGGATTGCAAAGGATTAGAAAAAAAGATTTCGAGACCACCTCCCTCTCATACGCCTTTGGTTTCGATTTTAGGATGCCTGTAGATTTTAAACATGATTATGAGAGGGGAAAGTGTTTCAACTGCAGCCCAAGCGTATGCTATCCTTGTGTGCGAATTTCCCAGATGCCGGCAAAAGCACTATTTACACGTTTTAGCGGACATATTTATACAAAACGATCCAGTTCCATGAAATGTTAGCGTCACGGCTGCACAAAATAGGTCCAGAATATCAATTGGATGGTGTCACGGTATTCAGCACTGGTTAAATATCCTTTACTTTTTAACGCAAGGCTTTTAGCATTTCTACTTCCCCCCGTTGATTTAGATCTGGACACGGGACAGAACTGTAGGCCTACTGTGTCCTGTTTCAGCACTTGGTTTCATTGATGCATGCTAGTTAGCCTCGTGATCGTCAAAACGGGTCAAGCCTTGGTAACTTCTTGGACGTCCTGCGAGTGACGACGTCTTCCGTGGAAGGGATGTACAAGATGTTGTCGACGAAACCTGTGCCGCTTGCAGCGTCGTTGCCTCCGCTTTCGTTGCTGCTCCCGCGTGCTTTGGTCGACGCTGCACGCGGGGTCTGCCCCATTGCGGGGCTGGTCGAGTTTGTGTCACGGGTTTGTGGTCTCGCTGGTTCTTGCCCTGTGAAATTTAGGGAGAGAAAAGCGCAACTAATGGGGCTTCGCTTATATTATCCACAGCTGTTGGAATTGCAAGGGGGCAGATTGTAGGGGAAGGCGTCTACCGCCATATACACATCATAATGAGGGCTGGTGTCCCTCATCAACCGATATTGTGAATGCACGTTTCAGACCCTTTAGTTGTTCCTAGAATTTTTCCAATATTACGTATAAAGACCTGTTTATACTGCAGATGATTTTGAAAGCGAAACGACTTTGACTGTTCGAAATCTATATTCTACTAATATATACTTTGCAGTATATATTAGTAGATCTAACGTCACAGTTTGGCCTTTGCTTTTGCTTCAAGTGCAAACCGGCCTTGGTGCCGTGTTTTTGTTGGAACCTCGCTTCGTCTAGTCTTCCCAAGTTTCTGCCGGTTTGTGCCTAAAGTTTAGCTCAAATTGGATTTTCAGAATTCTCAATTTGTCGTCGTGAAGGCCCCATCTTTAGATTTAAGTCCACTGTCTTCACAACCTCAAGCCTTCCGATTTAGCAACACCAGTGGCGGTCTTACCTGTCTTTTTGTCAGTTTCTAAACTTGAGAAAGATGCTGGCCTTTGTCTCTCTGTCTCCAGCACACTGGCGTAAGCGTAGCCTTCGCTTCTCGTTTTTTGTGGAGCTGGATCTGAATCAAGAAAAACGTCCGGCGGCGAAAGATGTCTCTGGCGGTCTGGTGCTATAGAAGCGTATGCATAGACGTCGGGTGATGTCCTTGGCAGTGCCGCCGGTGGCCGCTCCCTCGGTGTGTTCTCCTCCAGTGGTACACTGTCGTTAGGAAGTCCGTGGGTCACAGTCAGAGTATCGCTGCTCTGGTTTACATTGGCAGGGTCACTCGAGGCTGGCCTTACGGCATCAGCTTGATGTCGACTGTATACCGGCATGTGGTAAGCAGCCGGCTTTCGACGCCGTGGCTTGGCTTTCCCCGATGAAGCAATGCAAACGATAACAGCAATGGTGACGAAGAAAGCAGCACCGGCGCCTGCCGTCGCTGCGATGACCTCGATGGGGCTGAGTGTCGATACTGCCTCGTCTGTAACCATGGGGTGGGTTTCGAGAACTTGCGTGGCCCCGGTTGTCGGTTCAGCTGTAGAGACGACGATTGGTCCAATTGGCCCGATCGAACAGTTACTGCTGAAATCAGGATAGGCCTCACTCGTCATGAAACAGGTGAATGTTTGGTTGTTATACGGTGTGCTCAGAGAACTAAGATTCAGCGTGTTTTGAACTCGGTCCTCCAAACGTTCCGTGTCGTTTGAGAGGGTTATTCTGTCTGAGTTTCCGTCAAGTGTCGTCCACTCAAGTAATACAGCTGGATGGGATTCTCCAGCTGAACATGTCAAAACAGGCGGCGGTTGGGGGGCTTCGGTCAAGTTTGACGATGTACACACTGGATAGGTTTCGTTAGGCAGGTAGTGAACGGTCACGTATATTGGCAGCGATATTTGGGCGCCGCGTGGTTGTTCCCTCTCAATTCGACATCTGAACGTTGTGTTATCTCCTAAAGTGCTTTCATCAATTATCAGTGTCGTTATTGCGAGTGCATCATCAACAAATAGGTATTTCACTTTCCCACGTTGGTCCACAGTGATGCTTGTTATACACGGCACGTCCTCGTCAGGGATACAGGTTGATACATCTACTGTATCATACGGATCTTGAGATTCAGTGCGTACCCACTGACTTTCAGTTATATTTTCATCGCGAGAAATGCCTATCTTGAACGACAGTCGCAGCTGCTGGCCTCTTTGGACTGTGACTGTGCTGGATTCGGGTTCAATAGTTGCAGAAATCGTGATGCCGACAGTCGTGGCCAACGACAGAAAAAAGACGATGTGGCTTGCCATGATGCTACAGAGCTGGTGCTGCTTACGGAAAATTTCGAAAAGAGTTCAGCTTTCTCTGTAAACGAAGCTGCCGACCTTTGTGTACACTGTCCACTCTGTCTTTTGTCACTGTTTTTTTTTTACCAGAGCAGAGATTTATTCTCCTTTAGGTTCACACGGCTTTGAATTTGTCCGTTGCAAGTACAAGTGGAGTATTAACGTATGTGCTCAGGATGGGACAAAACGCAAGTATGCAGTCCCAATATATAACAGTGCGAAGTCAGAACACTTCAACATTTTGTTCCTTCCGTTCGTGGCCGAAGCGGGAAATGACACCAGAGGGTCCTCTCCAAAAATAGCTTGATCTCCCTTTGACGTGCGAGGCCGAAAGAGGGCGTCGAGTAACCGGTTCCCCAACCCGCGGGAGTTAAAGCCACGACAGTAATGTGAACAGATTGTGCTCCTTAGCATGGGAACATGGAGCCATTAATGTCCACAGGAGTTATGGCAGCTTGTGGCCTATGCGCCCGAGGTAAAGTGCACCCTCACCGGCAAAGAACTTGAAAGAAGTGACAGGCTACAAGGAAATAGTTCGTTCCTGCTTGTGCCCAGGACTGGCGCGTAGCTGTGTCAGAGCACACCTCCTTACGCAGCTTTATTTGTGGGGTATTTCCTTTGTTCTCGTGTACAAAACTCCCATACAACACACAAAAATTTCAAATCCATCACTGGACCGAGCCCAGTCTAATGTGGCTTCCTTCGTTTTCATGGGGGTCCAGCGCTTAACGGGTATATATCACTTGTCGCTGNGGCTTGCCTCATCCATTCATAATTAGGGTGCACCAGTGAATGATATTATGGGAGAAATACTTTTATTTTCTTGTTTAAGCATATTACTTTCTGTTTCATGCGTGTGTCATTATTACCCCTGTAGGCCTATTCTAGTTAAGTTTGAAACTATTTATTCTGGAAAGCATTCGTATTTTGTTCGTTCTATAATAACCATGGAGGAAGGAACGAGCGCGCAAATCCATGGAAGTTCTTTCCCTTGCAATATTCATGAACCAATCAGGAGATGAACTTTTAGTGTTTTGACATTGACAAAGCAATAAAGGCATGCAACCATGTTCTATTGTATACATTTACTAGTGACAACCAACAGTGCGAAAGTTGCAAAGCAAATAAGGTAATCCTCACTAAATCCCACGGAGTCTGCATTTTCATTCCTGGCTATACAGAACATGCAACGTGCTTTAATTCCCAAAAAAATTGAGTAAAGTTAGTTCTTTAGTTTGGGCGTTCTTATGCTCCATTGTGGTTGACATAAAACCTCATATTCATGGGAAATGAAACCTGTGCATTTTTAGAGATACATGTAAATAGTTTTCCCAGTTAATTAAGTAAACACAAATTCTCAAAAATGACAGAAAGTGTGTATCACCTTAACTTTGAGTTCATTGTAGCTTAGCATGTTGTGTGGTGATCATCATTATTATTTACGGTATTTATTACTTTTGTGTTATTCATCTGAAGACTTTGGCTATTTTAATTTAATTTAATCCTAAAAAGTCATGTCGAATTCCAGGCCTCCCACATGTTTTGTGAAAACGTTTTTCCAGCTCTGACTCTTTCACATAGTTTGGAGCAATTTTGGCACACATTTTTTGTTATAATCAAGATAACATATACTAAACCCTGCAGACTTTTCCCTGCTCCATTTCGTTAGTAAAGTTGTGTACATGTTTGAATGCATTCAGACAATACCAAGTATTTTATTTGAGTATCTAGTTATTATAATTTGAATGACAACACCTCATTCGTAATTCAAATTTTTTACCAACACATCCAATTTGGAAATAGCATCCAATTTGAATTAGAATCAGTTCATTTTAAGAATGATGGACATCACAACAGTAACGATGAAAGGGGCATACTGAACGCACGCTTTTACATTTCTTGTACGAACCAACTGTGAATGAAGGCGCCTCCATCTATCGGGGGGCAGGCACTC